CGGAACCTACTCGAAACTCACCCGAGCCCTCGAAACTCCAACCCAAATATGCACACTACCTCAAAAACATTCTATGAACATATTCGTACGATCAAATCGCCAAAATAACATCATAAACATCGGATTAAACCTCAAAATCCATGAATTCTTTTAAACTTCAAAAAACATCAAATTTTCCAATATAGGTCCGAATCACGTCAAACTACGTCCATTTTTCACCAAATTTCACAGAAACATCTTAAATCATATATAAGACCTGTACCGGGCGCCAGAACCAAAATACGGGCCCGATACTAACATGTTTTAATCAAATTTCATTTCCAATTTCCTTAAACAATTTCAGAAAACAATTTCTTTCAAAAATTCATTTCTCGGGCTTGGGACCTCGAAATTCGATTTCGGGCATACGCCCAAGTCCCATATTTTCCTACGGACCCTCCGGGACTGTCGAATTTCATATTTAAGCATTACGGCTATGCGCCCGGACTGCGCACGCAAATCGAGGCGACTCTAAATGAGGTTTTCAAGGCCTCGGAGTCACAGAATTTAATTAAAAATAGGTGATGACCCCTTTGGGTCGTCACATTCAGCCTATAAAATACAAGAAAAGTTGAAATAACAAAATACATAAAAATAAAATGAAGGATGTAAAATGAAGTTCATCAATAAACATACATATTTTTTACTAGCTTCAGGTTCTAAAAGCGTGCCGTCTTTCTTGTGAGTCTCAAAGAAGATAGTCGCCATATTCGGTGGATTACCGTCTTTGCCTCCCTTCACATTTAAATAAACAAGTCAAACAAAGACATTAAACACTACCTGAAGATCCCCCCATTGTTTGGAGCAAGTGGCTTCAGAACCTGCCTCAGTAGTGCTGGACTGCAAGGCTTATTAGTAACAATTTCAATCACCAAGTTAATTTATAATTGTGATTGCTACTATCCTCGGGTGTTACTGATAAGCTGCAGCATTCCCTAGACATCAAATCTGGGATATTTATGCCTACTTTTTATGTTTTAAAAAAGGTGTTTTGCATATTGAATAAGAGAGAGAGGAGATTGATGAACTTATTGTCACGACCCCAGTTCGCCCTTCGTGAACATGTCGTGACAGCACCTAGTCCCTACGACTAGGTAAGCCTAACAATGCGGAAGATAAACCATAATTGCGGAAGAAAGTAAATAAAACTGAACTAGTAAAATAAAACGATGTTTAAGGTGCCGCTCGGCACATACCCTAACAATTCTCGAAGCTAACAACATTCCCAAAACCCGGAAACTCACAAATCATAAGCTACGGGATACATAAGAGGCTCTGACTCAAGAATATCTATACAAAAGGAAAATACTGATAGAACTATACTTATTACAGAAGATAGAAAGTGACTCTTTGGTCTGCGGACGTAGCAGATATACCTCGAAGTCTCTATAGAAATGCCTCCTTCCCAGGCTGACAGAACTGAACGGGAGTACCTGTATCTGCACAACAAAAATGTGCGGAAGAGTAGCATGAGCACACCACGGCGGTGCCCAGTAAGTATCAAGACTAACCTCGGTGGAGTAGAGGCACCTACCGGTCAAATAAACAGTATAATCATAGGAATAATGGAACCGATATATAAATATGTAAAGTCTGCATGAATGACTAAAATTTCTACAATTCCCAATAAGGAAAAGAGGACAACAAGTAACAACGAGAATATAATAAATGATGATACGAAATGACGGCAGAATCACAATCCAAATCCTAAGGTCACAACACAGCAAGGGGAAAAACAAGTCAATAACTCATATCCTACAATGATGTTCACATAAGGTCTTGTTCAACTCTTCCCACAATTCTACCAAAAATCTCTGACAAACCACAACTCACGAAAAACCCAGCATCTGAAATCTAACACTTGGCATCCTGTGCCCCATCAATCTCACGGTTATGCTGACAACTAACTGGCTAACTAGGACCACTCTCACATATATAATGGACGAACGAGGGCGTATCTCCACCCTTAACAAAATCGGAAGGAATTCACCTCTAATGGGGTGTCCAACTACGTGTATGCTTGTGCAAGTGTTTTTGACAAGGATTTTCCCAACTAGTAAACATGAAAAGGAGAACGGACTGCACGTACGAATGTTTCCTCACAACTTCCAAGCGGTAAAGCTCATACAGGTAAACAACCCACAATCACAATATTAAACAAATAGGAATACCTCCACAGGCCGTCACAATTCTTTACAATCAACCCCTGACATAGCCCACCTTATTACGCCACGCATGCAAATAATAATATAATAGGCACCGCCTTATTTCGCCACACGTGCATCACAATGTTCCCACCTTATTCCGCCACATGCGCAACCCACATATAAGCATATAACATATCCCGCCTTATTACGCTGCATGTGCAAAACATCAATAGCAACAATAGCATGGCAAAGACCTCGTGCAACCCTTCAACAACAACCGCACGGCAGAGACCTCGTGCATCACAGTACCAACAGCCGCACGGCAGAAACCTCGTGCATCATAGTATCAACGACCGCACGGAAAATGACAATATAGTATCAACGACCGCACGGCAGAAACCTCGTGCATCATAGTCTCAAGTACCACACAACAAATGACAATATATACAGGAACAAAGCAAGAGAATCAACTCAGGTATTTCCATTCACCAAAAGACGGTACAACTAACTCATAAGGAATAACCGTAACAGAGAAATACTAAGCGCAATAAGAATAACTCAACAAGGAGAAATAATACGAAACAACAATTCCAAAATACTCAGTTCAACAACAAGGAAGTTAACATGAATCAAATAATTACAATTAAGGAAATATCAACTAAACATAGGATATCTAACTTCTTTCCAATTAAGACCAATTAATTACACGAGAGGTAGAAATAATGCTTTCCAGATAAAGACAAGCAGTTAGGAATGATAATGTGACTATAGAAGGGTAAATGTCTACAGTTAAACAAGTAAAAGTCAATTAGGCAACAAGAATAACCAAAGAGGGCAGATACATTCCAAGTAAGCCATGTAGAGGTGAAACTAATAACAGGGAACTCAATCGTATCAAGAACAACTTCATATTCGGTGATTACAAGGATCTAAGAACCTAAAAGGGGCAATTTTCCACAAATAAATCCGAGCACACACTCGTCACCTCGCGTACAAGGAATACAATCAACAAAGAAGACTCAAATCCTAAGGGGAAGTCCCCCACAAAAGGTTAGGCAAGATACTTACCTCGAACCGGCTAAAATGAACTAGCAACTACGTTCTTGCCACGAGTACTCGACTCCAAATGGCCCAAATCTATTCAATTACATCACACATTGTAAATAACATCTCAAGCAACAGATTCTACTATTTAATTCAAAGGTAAAGCGCGAAATTAGGCAAAATGACCAAAACGCCCCTCAGGCCAACGCGCTCAAAACCCGAGGTTCGAACCAAAATCCGGTTACCCATTCCCCCACGAACCCAAATATATGATTTGTGTCGAAATCGGACCTCAAATCGAGATCCAAATCCCCAATTTTAGAAAAACCTAGGTTCTACCCCAAACCCCCAATTTCACCCATGAATTTCATTGATTTTAAGAGGAAAACATGTTAAATGATGTAAATGATTGAAGGAATTAAGTAAAAATCGACTTACAAATGATTTGGAAGAAGTTTTGTCCTTGAAAAATCGCCTATGGGGTTTGGGTCTTGAAAGAATGGTAAAAAATGGTGGAAAATCGACTAAGTATAAATTTGCTGGGTCTCTGATGTCGCATTTGCGAACTGGGGTTGGCAATTGCGAACCCCGACCAAGTTTGGAAATTGCGAGATACTTGTTCGCATTTGCGAACTATGAAGGAAACTGGGAGGTTCGCATTTGCGAACCATAAGGTCGCATTTGCGAAACCTGACCCATCGCATTTGCGAGGTTTTATATCGCATTTGCGACAGCTTCAGGCCTGGCACATTCTCGCATTTGCGAGCTGACTCTTCGCAATTGCGAGCTCGCATTTGCGAGCCAGGCTTCGCAATTGCCAAGCCTGCAGGTCAGTTATAGCTGCAATTTTTCCCAAGGTTGAAAAAGCACTCCGACACCTATCCAAAACTCACCCGAGCCCTCGGGGCTCCGAACCAAACATGCACACAACCTCAAAAACATCCTATGGACTTACTCGCGCGACCAAATCGCCAAATTAACAACATAAACATCGAATCAAGCCTCAAAACTCATGATTTCTTCCAATTTCTTCATAAAATACCAAATTCTCATTTTAGGTACGAAACACGTCAAACGAAGTCCGGTTTCAACCAAACTTTAGAAAAAGCGCTTAACCATATATAAGACTTGTACCGGGTGCCGGAACCAAAATACGGGCCCGATACCATAGTCTTTTAATCAAATTTCGTTTTCATTTTCCTTAATTATTTTCAGAAAGTAATTTCACACAAAAATTCATTTCTCGGACTTGGGACCTCGGAATTCTATCCCGGGCATACGCCCAAGTCCCATATTTTCCTACGGACCCTCCGGGACCGTCAAATCGCGGGTCCGCGTCCGTTTACCCAAAAATATTGACCAAAGTCAAATTTATTCAATTTAGTATCAAAATTTAGCATTTTTCTCACAGAATTCATATTTAAGCTTTCCGGCTACGCGCCCGAACTGCGCACGCAAATCGAGGCAATCCCAGATGAGGTTTTCAAGGTTTCGAAAGTACAGAATGGGTAAGAAAACAAGTGATGACCCCTTCGGGTCGTCACACTTATAAAGCTCTAATGTATGCCTCCCTTGTTGCATCTAGTTGTAAGAAAGAGATGAAAGAGACATAAGGTAAATATAGCCATTAAGGAAAATTCAGGATCATATGGAGCTACATGGATGCAGGCCACTTCAATCTGACTCTACCAAAAGCTAGCAATTATGACATGCATTAAGCTATGAAATCATGGAGCACTGAAACTAAAGTAAGCAGCAAGTGATCTACTGCAGCAGAACATTGCCATCAAGAAAGATATATTGTCATGACAATTGCTGATTAACAAGAGAGTGGTAATTAATAGCTAGCCTTATGAAGGTAAAAGATGTCGAGCAGAGGACTAGATCACCTCAAGTTGAAAAACAGTAAAAAGATCCCATACAGAAAATTTATATGGTACCAGTCAAGTCCTTTACTGGAAAAAGCACTCTTCAGCGAATATGAATCGGATTGCATTGTGCACTTAGCAGTTCGTAAATAATTTCTCTAATCGGCTTGATGAGGCATTCTCAACTTAGACCTATTGATCGAGTTTCTAATATTTGTTTCCTATATAAGAAAAAACCATTGAAATCATGAACTGTTACTTACAATAATAAAAAGTTAAAAAGTAGTTATGAAGTCTTACCTTAAATTTTTCACTTAAAACTGTCCAGACATTGCCATGTTAGGTGGAACCCTCTGTCCATACACATTACTGGGCGTAGTTGAAAGCTAATATGGTGCACGGCACAAAGGTGGAGATCCTACATATAGCTGAGGTAAAGAAGGTGCCCTGAGGAGACCACTAGTCCAACTTTGTGGACGTTGAACTGGTGCTGAAGAACCCACCTCTCCAAAACAGTTTCTGTATATCCTCCTGCAAATCCTGTACTCATATCGAATCGTGCTCCAATGAAGTACTAGATTTATCACCAAATTCAAGTTATCAAGAACAGCAGGACGATCTCCCAACACCAATTATTGAACCACCTGTCACTCTTCTTCACTTCCCCACTACCACGGCCATAAGGTCGTATCGAAGGAACCCTTGAGTCCAAAATAATATGCAAGCTTTTAAGAACAAATCTTCCAAGTTCACCCCCTGTGGGTTACTCTGAAAATCCATTTCGGTCTTTCAAAACAAATAACCCCAACTATTTTTGGTCCTCATAATGGATAGACAAAACAGATAACCGGCTGACTATTTGCTCCGTCATGTGGGCCACTATATATGTCTTGATAATGAACCTAAAAATATATATAAAGATCAAACAAAAGCTATGTAAAACTCAATCTAACGTTGACCAAAGTAGTTTTTGGATTGAGGCATATATAGTAGTCGTTCTTGACATATTATATCAAAACAAAAAGAATCCGATAAATATCAAAAGATGTTCAAGGAGCAGGTCGAAATATCATAGACAAATATATTAATATGAGAATTAACTTGTCAAAAGAATAAGAGAAAGCGAATAAAATTTTGAAATTAGAACTGCTAAAATAGAGTACATAATTAGACGATAAGACTTAATCAACTACAGAATTGAATTAGCGTCATGAGATATATGGACTTACTTAAGAGAATAAAAGTTTGAGAGCAGCGATGAAGAGAGAAACCACAGCCACAGGGTCGGAGATAATAAGAAGCAAATGGAAGAGAGAGAGAAATTCCGTATAGCGAGTGGCCTGCTAGGAGCAGTAAGAGACCACATAGATATTTGGGTGCTAGCTAAAGGAGTAGATTTCTCATTTTGGTAATAATTGTAAAAAGTTGAAGGAAAACCAAACATCAAGAGTTTCCTTGTAGTTTCGAGGGACAAATCACAAACTAATAGGTTACAATTTGATTCTTCATTCAAATCCCCAAAATGTTTACAGTTGTTCTGCCCTTTTCCTGGCTATTCTACAACCACCATCTTATGGTTACACTATAGCTTCATTTATCATCAGGGCACATGCGCCTTATAAACGAATTGGCAAAGGATCAAGGTTATACAGAGAGAAACCAAAGAGAGGATTTTAAAAGAATGAAGTTCAATTAGGAAGGTGAAGAATTCCATACTGCTATTTAGATGATAGAGTTCGCAAACCCAGGCAGAGATCACTTCAATGTCAAGAAGCATTGTAAAGCATCAACTATTTCACACTATTAACAATGTAATGTAATTGGCAGAGATCACTAACAGACAACTTATAAATGCAAAAAAAAAAAAAAAACAGCTTAAAAATAAAGATTCACAGAAGATGTGCTTCTAAATAAAGAAAACCACTCAAGACATTGCCTTCATTTTTAACTATGGAAGAGAAGATGTGCTCCTCAATATGGCCAGCTAAACTTCTCTTTCTCAAGAGTGATTTTCAAGATTATATCCCATGAAATTTTTTCCTGAAAAGAGCAATTCAACCAAGAATGTATTGCTTTAATAGTGGTTTAAATACTTACCGTAACAGCTTCCCACATGTTTTCCAGCTTATCTTCTCCGATGTCCTTCCATGAATGTACTTGCAACGCACACATATTACGATCACGAACTAATATACCCAAGTGTCTTAAAAATGAGGCTTGATGCTTTCCAACAACCCGATTGTTGTAAAAGTTAACTCTAAACTTTTCTCCGGCTTTGAGTATTGCTACATCTTTATTCTTGTTCTTTCCTCTCACATTTTTTTGGCTTTTCAGGTTCACATAAATCTGCAAATTTTTAACATAAAATAAAATTCCTGTCTTATACACAACAAAAAAAATATTAAACTTGAGACCTTGCATCATTTCATCTTCTTGAGCGAGGGAAACATCGTCTTCCATCGGATCGAAACTAGGACGCATAAGATTAGTACTATTATGTGCTAGCTTATTCTGCTTGGAAGCTGTTGAGTTGTGATTTTTACTTTCGCTAACAAGATTTCTCTTTCCAACGCTTCCTTTTGCCGAGCCCGAAGATCTTAAGTTTTGCCCACATCCCCTTGCTAAAGCACTAGGTTGACTTTAAGTGTCTCGTACATTCTTCAAAATAGCTCCAATTTCTGCAAATTTTGATTTGAGTAAAGCATAAAATAACTTCTACTCTTATAACAAACAAAAAATAAATAATTAAAACTTGAGACCTTGCATCATTTCAGCTTCTTGAGTGAAGGGAATATGGTCTTCCATCGTATCAAAATCAGGAGGCATAAGATTATTACCGCTATGTGCTAGCTTACTCTGCTTAGAAGCCCCTGAGTTGTAATTTTTAATCTCGCCAATCAGATTTTTTTTGCCAATATTTATTTTTGCAGAGCCCAAAGATCGAAAGCTTTGCCCTCGTCCCCTTGCTAAAGCCGCAGGTTGAATGTATGCATGATGTACATTCTTCAAAGTTGTTCCTGTTTCTGCAAATTTTGATTTATGTGAAACATAAAACCAATACCAGTCAAATAAGAAACAAAACAAAACAAAAAATTATAACTTAAGAGACCTTGTATCGCTTCAAGGTCTTGAGCGAGGGGAGCATCCTCTTCCATCAAAGCGAAACCAGGGGGCACAAGATTATTAGTATGTGCAAGCTTATTCTGCTCAAAAGCTGTTGAATTGTAATTTTTACTTTCTCCAATTAGAGTTCTCTTTCCAATACTTGTTTTTATAGAGCGCAAAGATCCAAAGTTGTGTCCTCTTTCCCTTGCTAAAGCACTAGGTGGAATATATACATGATGTACATTCTTTGTAGTTGCTCCCATTTCAGATTTCTTAAATTTTGATGAATTCGTGTCAACCTAAAATAAGATAAAAGTATGGAGTAACTGTTTGTTAGCTGAGAGAGTAATAAAATTATTTATCCACACAAAATTTCCCGTGCCAATAATACTGATAAAAGAATTAACTTGTATTAGAATTAGAAAACACAAACAAAATACAACAAGGCTAAACTTGTAAAACCACATAGAGACCAAGCATATGGCAGCTGCTCCAAGTCCTTACAGAAACTTCTTCACTTGCAGTCAGTTCCAATGTAACACAGAACCATGATTATATGATTTCCAAAGAGTTGTTTCGAATGAAACATGTATTAGAAGTTACTGTTACTGCATTGTAACATTATTGTATTTACTGTATCTACTTTATTTTACTGCATAGGTTGTTATTTTGTTTCCACCAGTTGAGGAGTTTGTTATTTTATTCTCCTAGTTTTCTGGTTTGTTATCACTATAGAGGAGCCTTCTCACAAGGACTCTGTAATTTGTTTGTGTATATAATCAGCTCATCATTATTTAATAAAATCATCTTTTTGTTCATCTTGCTCTAACTCTCACGAGTATTTTTTACGATCTTCTGACTACCACCACAGGCTCACACTTGAAATGGCCCCAAATGTAACAAATGCTGACTCCACTAGCAGCAACTCTAGTGTTATTGTTCAGTTCAATCCCGTGTCGCAACTGCCGATAAAGCTTGTTGGCAATCATAACTTTGCGACATGGAAAGCCCAGATTTCCATGCTCATGCGTGGGCACAATCTACAAAGGAGCTTGCCGGAGTCGCTTATAGTATCATATTTAAAAGGAATTTTTACCTCCTATAGCAAAGGTTAACACCTTATTTATTTTAAATAAATATCATTTTAAAAAATTATATTCTATAGATACCTTTTAATGTTTATAGCAAAATATCTAATTTTGGTTACCTCCTACCCCTAAGCCACTAAATACGCTATTCAATTATACTATTTTCTTTCTCTCTCTACTTTGATACATGTCATTCTCTTTCCCCATTCCCTGAAAACACGATGCTCAATCTCAAAATTCTTCTCACGCACATCACCTGCCATTAGTCACAAACGGTGATTTTGCCTGGTATACCACGAAGGCTTCTCTGACTTTTTCCCTCAATTTTGTGCAACCCAATTGGAATCCAAAAGAGATGAAGCCTCCAATCGGCACAACACAGCAAACCCACGAACCTTTCTCAACTTTGTCATCTTCAATACAAGATTCAAGCTTTAACATTATTAGGTCGAATATAGCATTAAAAAATTAGAAGGGGGTTCAGTAGATATAGGGTTTATAATTTGCCTTACCTTCCGACTCCTCTGTTCTTTCCCAAGCCAAAGTTTGCGTCTTTGGGAACTATATTCAGATTTTTCCTGCCTTTTGTAGTGGATTCCAATGGTGCTGAAGCATCTCGTATTTGCAAGCAAGTTGATTTTCTGTTAATATATTTCAATGTATTTTTAACGTATCACGCTGTATTTTCATGTATTTCATTGTATTCATTGTCTTTTTTTTCATTGTAATTCAATGTATCTCGTTGTATTCCATGTATTTCATTGTATTCACTATCTTTTTTTTCATTGTATTTCAAGGTATCCCGCTGTATTCTATGTATTTTATTGTATTCACCGTCTCGCTATATGCCATGAATGTATTCATATGTTTTTTTTTAATTAATATAATTTATGTATTCAGATGTATCATATAATTTCTCTGAAGATTGCTATGTTTCTGGGGTATTTTTCGGTTGAGAATCTTTTTTATAACTGGAAATACAAAATTTGTGTGTTATAATTGAGTTTGTTGAGTTATATTAAGAGTCTATTATGTTAATTGATTCACTTTCCGTTCAAAAATAGTGTTATGTTTCACGCCATGAATACAGTCGAATACAACAACTGATTAGCTGGACTTCCCTGATTCACGCCTATTTTTGCTACTGTATTCATGAATACAGTAGCTTAAATATATCTAATACATCTTATAACAACAGAAGCGTATCTACAATCCGTAATATAGCAAATGGTATCTATAGATAGCTAATTACCACTAAAAGATAGTGCTTTATGAAAATTTCTCTATTTAAAACATATCCATTTTTTAAGAATTATTTAATATTTAGTCAATTTTGACAAACTTAGCCTAACTTCATACTTGCAAGTTTAAAATTTAAGAATTCAAAGTTCAAATTCAAATCTTCGATCTGGAATTTTAAGTCAAAATTCAGCTGTGGAGATTAAGCTTTAAAATTTTATATATCTTGGCTATTATTTAAATAAGTCTTGAAAACGACTACTTATGCAATTCATCCTTAGTCTTGCTGTCAACTGAAAAAAAAAGGTTCTTATTCTCATATTTTCTCTTTACACGTTTAGTTACTTCATGGAAACGTTTGAGTCCTTGTTATTATAGTGGAACATTTAGAAAGATCATTAAAAATTATTGTGCATGTTACAATAATTTATTTTACTACGAGTTAATATTAAGTTAGAATTCTTGGTTATTCTCATTGTTTTTTTTTCCTTATGGAGCTTGCCGGCGTGGCCTAGCGAGGACAAGTGTGTGATCCATTCTTTTTACATGTTTTGTCTATTTCTTTTGTGCTCTTTATTTTTTTCAGTTAAAACTTCTGGCCATAGATTAATTTCAGAAGATGACACACTTATCTAGTATGAGTATAACAAACAACATCAATGTGTTGTTTTGTTGAAAGCCACAAAGCACATTTCTACTTCTGTCAGTCACTACTTTAATTTGTTCTGCATTTGCAATAACAGACTGAGTTTTAATTAAACAATTTCAAGAATCAGCCATGCGCAAGCTTTCAAAGCTTCTTCATTTACACCATTTCAAGTACTCAACTTGAACTAATCAACTAGATCATTTCCCAAAACCATATATGACAAACCAAACTTATACATTCATCCAAATAATGAAAACCCCATTTCATGTTTTACCTCAATTCAAAGCCAAAATACAAAATTCGAGCTTTTCACTGCTGTTTCTCAAACTTACTTACTTGGAGGGGAGGATTTTTGGCGTTTTTCTATTTTCTTGCCTTAGCTTCGTTTTCTTTAACTAAATTAGTTGTGTGTAGTTATATTTACATTATGAAATTGATTTGATTAGATTTGGGCCATTCGAAGTTGGATACTCGTGGCAATAGCGTAATTTCGGATTGATTTGAGCTTGGTTTGAGGTAAGTGGCTTCCCTAACCTTTTGTGGGTGAAACTCCCCTTAGAATTTTGGTACTGTTGTTATATGAATACCGTGTACGTGAGGTGATGAGTGCGTGCACGTGCTAATTGTTGAAAAACCCCGTTTTCATTAAGTAAATATCTGTGTTTTACCTTGAATTGAGCAATACTAGTATTGAAGCCTCCTGTTTAGCTTAGGAAAACATGCTTCCGTGATTTAACTGTCTTAACTGCTTACTTATTTTCTTGATAATCTACAAAGATTTGGTAGTGACTAGGTGAGGATCACTTTCTCCCCTAGAACTCTTTCTTTCGCTCTAAATGTAGCAGAACCTATTTCTGTCCACTTGTTAAATTTGTAAACCTATTTCTTTTCACTTGCGTCAAATCTCAACCAGTAGGTGATGTAGGTAAATCCGCAATTGCCGATCATAATGACCGTTCTGGTTATATTGACACATCTGACTAAATTTAGTTGGACATTAATTCGTCACTTGGGCTCCAAAAGTGGCTTCTTGCTCTTGTTGAATCTGCTAGGCTGAGATGGCCAGGTGAATACAACGTAACAGTCATGTAACTTGATCAGTTGCAGTGTAAAAACATTTGCAAATTCTTGTGGGATCTCTTTTAGCCACAAGCAGTGAGGTATATATAAAAAGTCAGGAAAATGATGTTCGGTAGCTTTCCACTCGATGAATTACCGAGTGACAAGAAGTTTAATTGAGAAAAAACTCTAGAAGGTTTCCATATATAATAATCTCCGAATGCATTAAGTGCCTCAAGTTTAGGCAACATATATACCAACAATGTCCATAGTCTCCCAAGGAAGATGCGACCCGCATATATATATATATATATATATATATATATATATATATATATATATATATATATATATATATATATATATATATATATATATATATATATTTTTAATTAGGGTTGGTGGTAAATTAAGTGCTTCGATGTTCACAAAAAACATCCTCATGTGGGGGACTATTTGAAGATCACCCTATTTATAGATCCCGCACATTGTTTGAAGCAGGTAATGCTTCTACACAAGTAATGATAAGCCCCAGCTTTAATATCAGTTGGAAGTGGACACTACCCAAATATAGCACTCAAATCTGTTGGGGGTTGCATTTGGATTCAGTGGTTATATTGCGGGTGGTGTACTTAACACATTAAGGAACTTATTCATGTTTTGGGACAACTCACTTGCTCATACCTCTAGTATATTGGGCAGTTGTGTTGCCCCCTTTGGCGCAAGGCTCTGGCTTTTGTACACTACTAATGTTGACAGTACTCAAGCTGTTCATACAGGAGTATATTGGTGGAGGGACTTGCACATGGACTACTACGGAGATGCACACATGGAAGAAGAGGCATTACATTGATTGATCATGGTTACTTACTTGGAGGGGCACACATTGGCTAGCTTTGCCCAATTTCCATGCTCATGCGTGGACACTTTTAGGATCTGATAGTGATTTCGAATCTATCTGATATGTTTTACCAGTCCCCTCCTTCCTGGTAAGATTCTTTCCGCAGCGTTATTCCAAAAAACAAAAATTGCAGTTAAAAGGAGTACATAACCAAGAAGCTTATGTAAAATGTGAGATACAAGCATGCACAATGATCCATCCAATTGGCAACAGCATAAGTGCACAAAACAGAAGTATAGACATGGTTGTTTATAAAGCTAGATTTTTTTCCCAGTATTACATCTCACAGTTCCGCAGCACTCAATAACAGAAAAACAGAAATCAATATTAGTTCCTATCAATAAGGGCAAAACTTTATAAATATTGGTTTGCATGATAAAGGTCAAAAATATTAACAACATGCATGATAAAGGTCAAAAATCTTCATCAGTTCTTTTCCTTTTCATTTGTGTAGAATTATCCAAATTCTCCAAATCGTCATCCTTTTCTTGCAAAATGTCAAAAGTATCACGAGGTAGAACTTTTCTTGCAACATGCTAGCCTTTATTTGAAGGATCGTCGCCATAAAATACTTGTAATGCTTGGTTTGCTAATACAAATGGCTCATTGGTTTTCAACAATCCCTGACGGTTAATACTCACAAAGCCATATTCATCCATTTTAACTCCCTTTTCTTGGTCATACACATCAAACCACATACATCTAAACAAGATTCCTCCAATAAATTGCAATTCAAGAATCTCAGTAAGTTCTCCATAATAATCAATATTTTTATTCTCTTCATCTGTCTCACCAACTACAACCACCCCATAGTTTTGAGTTCTAATAAAGTTATTTTTTGATACAGTAGAAACATTATACTTAATTGCCTGGCATAAGTTTTTCCCATAGAATGAAAATGTCAATCAAGGCAGCCTTTGCAGAAAAATTAAGAGTATCTATAGTTTTCTTAACAACAGGAATTCCTAAGATTATATTCTAGTTGACTAAGTATTGAACAGCATTTGTTTACCTTTCACCTAGATAATCTTCTCTAGAGTGTGGACGTCATCATAGGAAATACCACCTGCAAAAGTAAGACAAAGTTAACCGAAATTATTGTTAGAATGTGTTAAATATCCTGATTCTTGATTCAATATACTAAATAGAGACATAAAATTGGCCAAAGGCTTGGAATACATTGCTCTAAAGGTAAAGCTATAAGCAAAATATTTGCATTAATTTCTTTATCTTCACTATTGCTTTAAGCACACATTAGGAAAAATCCACAAAGAGTCATTGCGTGTAAAAATTTTCTTTCCAGTATCAAGTCAAGTGTTGACCCGCCTACATGAAGTTAAAAGTATTTCTATCTTAGATATAAGTACTCAAATAATAGAGTCGGCCAACAAAAGTTCCCTTGGTGGGTGGTCTAAAACTTGACAGTTTACCCGCAAAGGGAAAAAAACAATTAACAATTATCACAAAGTACTGTATGTGTCTTACACAGATACCACAAATTTTACGCTAACCAATTCTACTTTTGAACGAAAGAAACTCAACTCAAACCCATGTTCTTCAGAAGGAAATAACATACTGTAGTAATTTACGAAGCATTGAAAGTATCGTCATTGCAAAACGTCTATTATTCAAATATTATTGTTGCAAAAATTGGGGTAATTAAGCTGTACTATAATTAGTAGAAGATATCATTCACAAATCATAATTATAGCATTGGGCAATTCTCAAACCTAAATTCTAAACCTGATTACCTTGAATTTGTGAAGACTTTCTGGAAAGGTGGATTCTGCTGGACTACACATATAGATTACGGATGTGTATTCGTGATGTTTCTCCTTCTCTGTTCCTCTTCGCCTCTATGTCTATTTCTCCAGTTTAACTTATCTGTAGACACATATTCAAGAGAGTCCATAGAAGTTGGAATTCTTGATAGATTGTGAAAACATAGAATTTGGAAGTATGGGTAACATATAAAGGTCTTGGGGATGCTACTTTTGGTGGTCTCTTATGGTGTTCATATTCCCATGATTAGAACACACAGAAGAAAAGTCAAAAGTTGTTAAGTTTGTAGTCGTCTGAAATAAAAGCTGTTAAATCTCAATAAGAAATACATAAATATAGATAATTTTTGGATGCTGAAGTATATTGAGAGGGTGCCATGTGCTGCTTTCGTTCTTCACCCATCACTTTGATAGATGTCTATTGTCTTTCTTATCTTCTTTGTTTGAGATATGAACATTTATAATTGATTATCACTTCATAATTCTACAGGTGCTTTTTTTTTCCAAAAAGGGTAAGGAGAAGACAAGAAGAAGACTAAACACATCACAGAAATATCATACAACATCCATGAAATGCTGTCAAGATTGTAAAGGATGTATTATTTGCCAATTATACAACATCCATGAGTGGAAATTTTATTCCAAAATGCATGAAAATAATATCTGCAATTAGTATGCGATGTTAGCCTATCTGATTCGATGCTCACGTATTAATTTTGTTGTGTGCAATTTCGTAACAAAATGAAGTTAAAAATAATAGTATCAAATTCACAATATTGGACCCGTGTGAATTTGATACTGTAAGCATTTAAATTTTATTGGATATAAATCCATAAAGTTATTTGAACTATATTTTAAATTCAAATTATATTAGTTCAAATAAATATTATGGGCTAATATAATTGAATGAATTATATAAGTTCAATATATATGTGTTAAATAAATAAGTCTTAATCCATTGGGCTAGCCCATTTAAATTGGGGTAAAGTGATGAGGCCACTTCATTAAGCCCAAGATGACATCTTCCTTGAGGCCCAGTTTGGTGCCACATGTCAAATGACGTGGCGCGCCAAGTCAAACGGAAGAGCCAATAGGATCATGCCACATGTCAAAATGACAAGGCATGCCCAGTCACACTAAAAGGCCAATGAAATCGCGCCACGTGTGCAAGTGACATGTTCTGGCCAATCAAATGCGGCCATGTCACACTTCAATTTGATTGGTCGGAAAGAGTTTATTCTTATCACAACTCTTCCCTTCCACAACTATAAATAGGGGTCTTCATAACTCAGAAAAGTGACCAGAAGTTATAACAAGAAGCAAGAGAGAGCTCGTGGATCAAACACCGCAAATTTCTCTACAAGTTTCAAGCTTCAAGCAATCAAGTTCAAGTTCAAGAAATCAAGTTCAAGCTCAAGAACGAAGAACAAATCAAGTTCAAGCTCAAGAACGAAGAACAAATCAAGGTCAAGTTCAAGCGATGAAGCTCAAGCTCAAGAACAAGATCATCGTTCGTGGAAACAAATATAGATTCAAGATCAAGCTCAAAGGCCCTTGAATTTATTCATTATTGGAAAGAAGAATCAGAGGATTCATAGAGATTGTAACACTCAAATATTCAAAATAAAATACTACGATTGTTGCAATATTTTTCGGTCTTGACTTTATTTTCTCGACGCAAATTTATTGTCTACAAATTCTGGCACGCCCAGTGGACCATCTCTACCTCTCATCTCAACTTTTCATTCACCAAATACCAAGAACATTGAAATGGCTTCAAAGAAAATCAACTCTGTTTCAACTTCCACCAAGGCTGCTAACTCCAGGTTCTATGCTGATGTGGAAAGCATCCTCGATGTCACCTTTGGAAGCTTCGGACCAGTTACGAGGAGCAAAGCAAGCTTTTTAGGACAACAAGCACCCCAAGTGCCGTCTGCATCAACCCCTGTTTTCGGATCTTCATCCTCAAAAGGAGCAAGATCTACCACAAACGCATCTGAAGGAGGAAGCGATGTTGCTGAAAAGATCAAGAAAACTCTTGCTCTGCTTGACCTCTCCGGCTCCAAGCACTCTGCTGTGAAGGAAGATGATGATGCTTCAAGTGATGGATCCTCCCCACTTACACCACATAGCGTGAGCCAATCAAGGATCAATCTGTGTGAAAATCCATGCTACTCTCCCTCATCTACGACAATCATGCAAGCCATGGTGACAAACACTTCATCCATGGAGGAGCAGTTGGCAAACTTGACGGAAGCAATCGCTGGCTTGACCAAATGCATCCAAAATCAAGAGGCTAGAATTGACAAGCTAACAGACAGGGTGGGAATCTTGATGGAGGAAGAATCTACCCATGCACCCCGCAAGCTCCCAGAAGTTCTAGAGAGTGACTCTCCCCCAAGACAAGCAGCATCCACTAAGGCTATCCCTGTCTCATCTGAAGGGATGATTCCAATCGATCAACTGAAGGAGTTCATCGAAGGAACCATTAAGAACAAATATGAAGTTGCTGCCAAATCCTCCCTTACATATGCAAAGCCGTACACTGCAAGGGTCGATATGTTGAAGATGCCTGCTGGCTATCAACCTCTAAAGTTTCAACAGTTTGATGGTAAAGGTAACCCGAAGCAACATGTTGCGCACTTCGTGGAGACGTGCAACAATGCTGGGACTTATGGAGATTACCTCATCAAGCAGTTTGTTCGCTCGCTAAAAGGAAATGCTTTTGACTGGTACACAGACCTCGAGGCTGGATCTATCGACAACTGGGATCAACTAGAGCAAGAATTCCTCAATCGCTTTTATAGCACAAGACGCACGGTGAGTATGATAGAGCTTACAAATACTCGTCAACGAAAGGGGGAACCAGTTATCGACTTTATCAATCGTTGGAGGAATGCAAGCCTCAACTGCAAAGACAGGCTTAGTGAAGCTTCAGGCATAGAGATGTGCATCCAAGGCATGCATTGGGGATTGCGCTACATCTTGCAAGGTATCAAGCCTGGCACATTTGAAGAACTTGCAACTCGTGCCCATGACATGGAATTGAGCATGGCCTCCGCTGGAAATGAAAGGCTGCCCATCTATGAACCTCGCAAAGCAAATGACAAGCAAGAAGTCAGGAAGTGGGGCAAGTTCGTACCCAAGTCTGAAAGCAAAGAAGCTATGAATGTCAATACGTCACCTATGAAGTTCATGACGAGGGTGAGCAAGAAGCAGAGTATGAAATCCATTTCTTTTCACGATAAGCCGAGTGGAAAGTTGACTCTAAGAGAAATGCAAGAGAAAGAGTACCCATTTCTGGATTCTGATGTGCCAGCCATTTTCGAAGAACTCCTCGAGTTAAATCTCATTGAGCTTCCGGAGATGAAGCGACCAAATGAAGCTGGGAAAACAAATGACCCAAATTACTGCAAATATCACCGACTTGTAAGCCACCCTCTGGAGAAGTGCTTTGTCTTCAAGGATAAAGTCATGGACTTGGCTCGCGAAAAGAAGATCGTGCTTGAAGATGAGAAAGCAAGCGCAAACCAAGTCTCTATCACCTTTGGCTCATTCAGTCCGGATGAATTATGTGGTTTTAAAGAAAGTAAAAATGAAGAATTACTGGAGAGCGACAAAGCTGAAGTCAACCAACCTGATGATGATGAAGGTTGGACGTTGGTGACTCGTCATAGGCGCCACAAAAGGAGCCCACGAAAAGAATTAGTGGAACAACCAACAAGGAAGATGATGGTAAAAAGACCAATAAAAAAGAATCCAGTTAGGCATTTGAAGAAAGCAAAAGTGGAGATGCACCACCCTCAAAAGCCACGAAATCCAGTGACCTTGGAGAAGTTTTTACCAAGTTGGTTCCGCACGAATATTTCCCATGAGGGCATTGATGCCTCTTGTTGCCATGCTGACAAAGGGGAAGAAAAGAGTGATGACCTACCGTTGGCACCATCTTCGAAAAAGCCCATCGAGTCCACTCCTCAAGAAGTTAATGCTTGTGAGGAAAAGGTCACGTTCACAAATGACGATCTTTTGCTAGGTGACACTCCTCATAACCGCGCATTGTACCTGGTTGGCGATATGCGCGATGAAAGGGTAAATCGGATTTTGGTTGATGGAGGATCCTCAGTGAACATTTTGCCAATCCACACTGTGAAAGAACTTGGTATTCCCATGAACGAACTCTCAGAAAGTCGTGTGATGATCCAAGGATTCAACCAAGGGGGGCAAAGAGCCATAGGCGCGATCAGGCTGGGAATCACTATTGAAGATATGCAATCAAGTGCATGGCTGCATGTGATCGACGCGAAGACTTCATACAATGTTTTGCTTGGGAGGCCTTGGATACATGAGAATAAAGTTGTTCCATCTACCTACCATCAATGTTTAAAATACTACGAGGGTGAAGTCGAGAAGACGGTAGTTGCTGATGATGAGCCATTCACCGAGGCTGAGTCACACTTCGCCGATGCAAAGTTCTACTTGAAGAACCGCATTGTGAAGGAGCTGAAAGCTGATGATGGCATGAAAAGAAAGAATAAATAGCCCTCAGCTAAAAGAGAAGAGGTGACTACTGGTGAAGCCAAAGTGGTTAGTAAGGATGTACAACCCAACGTGAATAAATCTTATAGAGGGAATATTACATCATATAGCAAGAAAGTAAGTCCGGTGATCCAATATGTCCCTAAAAGGAAGAAAGATGAAGGTGAATCATTTAATCACCAAGCTAACATGCTAAAGGAGTTAACTCTTCCGGTCAAACGAATTGAGGCAGTAAAGTTATCCTCAATGCCACCTGCAGGGTTTGTAGCCCAAAATCGTTTGTAGAATGTGGCACTCCCTACAAAGCGAACAGATGAAGGTTTCGACCCTAACGCTTACAAGCTATTTGCAAAAGCTGGATACAATCCCAATGAGCCGTCAAAGTTAGGGAAGCTCCCATCAGAAGCTGCAACGAGGCAACCACGTGAAGGTTTGGGATACAAACAACCATCACCAGTGCACATCTCAATAAGAAGGGCGAGCAGCAATTATATCACTGTAGAAGATGAATCAGCCGCTTCTAACAAGCCTTCCGTCTTTGATCGACTTGGAAAATCACCTGTGAGGACCTCCGTGTTTGAAATATTGGGTCCACTAAAGAAGGGGAACAAGTTCCGAAGAAATTTTCAAAGCATAAGAACACCCGCTTCACCCAAAATCCATGAGATCTCTAAGGATTTCCAAAGTTTGGTTCCTTCTAGAATGAGGCGACAAACAAAACTTGTGGTTTCATGTAAAGAAGTACTGAAGGTAAAGCCATATACTGTGGTCTATACTAAGGAACGTGATGAAGATGAAGAAAGTGTGGGTTCTTCGTATCATGTTACTGTACAAGTCGAGAATGGCATTCCATCTTCAATGGAAGATAATGCAGAATTGGAGGATGTTTCGCCGTGTTATCACATATCCTTCAATGATGGGGACCCTCAAGAAGATGAAGATGCGA